TGTGGAGTGTTATAGATAGATATGGAGTGTATGGATACCAGTGGAGTGTTATAGATAGCTATGGAGTGTTATGGACACCAGTGGAGTGTTATAGATAGCAATGGAGTGTTATGGATACCAGAGGAGTGTTATAGATACCTATGGGGTGTTATAGATAACTATGGAGTGTTATGGATACCAGTGGAATGTTATAGATACCTATGGAGTGTTATGGATATCAGTGGAGTGTTGTAGATACCTATGGAATGTTATAGTTACCTATGGAGTGTTATGGGTACCTGTGGTGTGTTATAGATAGTTATGGAGTGTTATGTATATCTGTGGAGTGTTATAGATAGATATGGAGTGTATGGATACCAGTGGAGTGTTATAGATAGCTATGGAGTGTTATGGACACCAGTGGAGTGTTATAGATAGCAATGGAGTGTTATGGATACCAGAGGAGTGTTATAGATACCTATGGGGTGTTATAGATAACTATGGAGTGTTATGGATACCAGTGGAATGTTATAGATACCTATGGAGTGTTATGGATATCAGTGGAGTGTTGTAGATACCTATGGAATGTTATAGTTACCTATGGAGTGTTATGGGTACCTGTGGTGTGTTATAGATAGTTATGGAGTGTTATGTATATCTGTGGAGTGTTATAGATAGATATGGAGTGTATGGATACCAGTGGAGTGTTATAGATAGCTATGGAGTGTTATGGACACCAGTGGAGTGTTATAGATAGCAATGGAGTGTTATGGATACCAGAGGAGTGTTATAGATACCTATGGGGTGTTATAGATAACTATGGAGTGTTATGGATACCAGTGGAATGTTATAGATACCTATGGAGTGTTATGGATATCAGTGGAGTGTTGTAGATACCTATGGAATGTTATAGTTACCTATGGAGTGTTATGGGTACCTGTGGTGTGTTATAGATAGTTATGGAGTGTTATGTATATCTGTGGAGTGTTATAGATAGATATGGAGTGTATGGATACCAGTGGAGTGTTATAGATAGCTATGGAGTGTTATGGACACCAGTGGAGTGTTATAGATAGCAATGGAGTGTTATGGATACCAGAGGAGTGTTATAGATACCTATGGGGTGTTATAGATACCTATGGAGTGTTATGGATACCAGTGGAATGTTATAGATACCTATGGAGTGTTATGGATACCAGTGGAGTGTTATAGAAAGCTATGGAGCGTTATTGATAGGTATGGATCGAGCGTCATTGTTAGCTATGGAGCGTTATATATAGCTATGGAACGTTATATATACTTATGGAGTGCTATAGATAGCTATCGAATCCTCTAGATACCCATGGAGTGTTATGGACAGGTACTGTTAAATATAGTGTATATATTGGCATTCCCTATGCTTATATTATGATTGGGCTATTTCGGTTGCTCATATATCAAGAAAGGGCCAAAATTATATACCCGCTTTTACCCGCATCTGACGTCTTATTCACGAATATATATAATATTTTGTTGCCTAGAAACTATAAGGCATGGTTACAAAGCTCCTCTGCTGTAGAGGAGTCTTTAGAGCATATAAAATGGAGGCATTAGCCATATTTACTGTTATTTTGGTCAAATTTTGCGTGCGGCGTCATATTTCAAAGGCTAAAATACGTGAAAATTCACCTAAAATACATGGCTATACCGAACGGGGAATAAATCGTGCTGGTTTAGTCTAAATTGGGCTTAGAAATGCAATGTCTTGCGAAGCCAAATCAGATTTAACATTTTGCATAATATTATGTTCAATATTTCGTCCGAAAATGGAATTTATTGAGGTCTGCTTGACGTATTTGTGTTGTTTCACAATACAATTCCTAACTAAAATGCTTCATATTTAATTATTGCGATACCGAATTGCGGTTAATTCCAGATATTCTAAAATATATCTTGGAAATTAGGTTTTAACAAGTACAAACTATAAAACAGATTGTACAGTTTGGATTTTAGCGCCAGGTTAAGAGCTAGGGCGATTATTTCGCTAAGTCCCATACAAAACATAAGCACTCAATGCGCGTGCGTGACCATTATTTCTCGCCATGGTTAATTAATACATCAACTGACAATCAAATTGATCACATGCATGCAATACGAATTGATTACATGCAATATACCACTTTTGGAACAAAACAAACATAGACCATTTTCGTAATGAAAAACTTAAAGATTTTTTTGTGCATTTTTAACAAATTGCTTTTTTAGCCTTGGACCTCCTTATTTTGCATTTCTTCTACTTTCCATATTTGGATGTTATCTAAATCTGCCATCAGTTTTAAATACTGAACACCAGCCACTGAACTGAAGTGTGTAATTCGAAGCTTGTCTGTTGTTTATATGTGGTCTTTATACGACGAGAATGCGACGCTCAGCCTTGGGAACTTCGTGGAGTTTATTGTAGGCAAGTTTTCAGTAGATATGCTACCAGTTATAAAATCTTTTGTTTGTCTACATAACTGATTAACAGAAAGATAGATATTAGACATGGATAAGTGAATATGCAAACACAATGCCCACTTTGTTTATATATGATCATACAAGCGCATGCATAAGGCCACATAAAAAAATTACTTGTTTAGCGTCCCCGCCCGTCCTGATAAAAGTCCCCGACCTCCAATTTTTTAATTTTTTTTTTTAAACCATCCGCCATTAGTGCAAAAACTCTCTATAAAAAAGACTATTCCTGCAGCTAAAGTGCTCGCGCGTGACCGCCAAACGGTAATTTCCTGTTTTATTAAAATCATGAACTGCATTAAAAAACATGAACGGATTTTGAAAGAATTAAAGTGACTTTTGACTGTGGTAATATATTGGATTTCCTGCATTTAGCAGAATTTTGTGTTGCATTTTACGAAAAAAACCCAAAAAAAAAACCGCCCGCCCGACCTAGACAAATTAAAATGGGTGGACGCTAAACAAGTAATTTTTTTATGTGGTCTAAAATGCAAATACCGGTTACAAATCAAAATACATTCTGGCTTGAAATGACGCTCACAAAGGAAAATCTTACTTATGTCAATTTGTTAATAAAGATCTGCCATCTTTTCTCTAGTCCTTAAAATAATTCAAAACCATTCTTCGCGAGCATTACTCTTCTTGCATGTTCACCATCGGCTGCGCCAACAACAGGGTCAGGGATTTTAAAAATTGCAAATTAATGCGTTCTGCTGGTCGGACAGCCATACAAAGCACAACTAGAGCCAACCATACTATGCAATATTACTTTGAAAGTTTAACCGTATCCTGACATACTAAAACAACGCCAAGAATAAGATTATCCGAACGCCCAGTGTATAAACATGCAAAGCCTTCGTCCCCTGATGCCTCTATCATAAACTGTTCACTACGCTCGCTTTCTTCAATATTTTCACGCAAACAAACAAACTTAGGCTTAAATTAAAGCTAAAAAGATTCTCTATAATATTCCTTTATTCTTGAAAAGAGAAAATGAACATATTCTGCGAAAACATTGCCAAGATTTATATAAACTGCCCGTGTCGAACAAATTTCGGCGGCCATATTTCTTCTCTTCCACTTTGAATACAGAATATTCCATTTTCATTAAACAAAATAAAAAATAATAATTATAAAACAATTAAAAACAGTTAATTTATTTTTTATTTAAATCTTCGCCTGAAATTTGTTCAAATCGCTTCATAATGGCCGCCGCCGAAACATCGATCTAGAACCCACCTCCTAAGCATACGTCATCAGGTGGGTTCGAGATTGAACGCACCTCCTCGTAGCCAATAGGAAAGCCGCTAATACGCTAGGTATGAGATAATTGTTTTGATCTGCTTGGCGTGGATATTGGGAGACGGTGACTGACAGATATATCTTCATTTGTAACGTCAATTCCAATTTTCCTTCCCAGTTGTTGCACTATCAAATTTGTATTTTCACCCTCACTCTGTGGAATGCCTTTAATTTCTAAGCAGTGTCGTCTGGTGTATTGCTGAAGGTCGTTTATGGCATCTTTCTGTGCTTGTAATATATTGTTAAGTCAGAAAACCTCAAGTCTTCAAACGATCATTTTCTTGACAAATTTCCTTGAGCATTGCTTCGTATTTTTCATATTTCTGTTGAATAGCATCGTATTGCGAACTTATTATAAAATTCAAAGAATAAAGAACTCCTTCTAATTTTTTTTTCCAAATTGTTGGTGACAGTTAAGACTAGCTTCAATTTTTCATCAAATAGCCTTCCAAGACCTTCACGAGACTGGCTAGATATATCCAATAGTATAAATTAATACACATACAAGACAACAAAATAAAGAATAATTGATCGACTTATAAACCAATATATAGGCATAATTTTTGTATCAGTTGAATTATTTTAGGAATTAAGATTTTAAGGAGCTATAGAGTACGTCAATTTCTCACCACGGTAGTACTAATGTTAAATCAAGTATATGCAAGTTTTGTTTTTCTAGATTTCCAAGCATTCCATGGAATTTAGAATTTGAAAAAATGTTATAGTGATGAAACCTGCAACAAAGGATGGGTCTTAGCCCAACGAAAATGGAAATAAAATTTTGATAAACAATGGGACTCAGTCCACGACACCCACTCGAGACCCTATCATATTTTATTTTAGCACATTTAAGACATTTATTTCCATGATACGTAAGACATATATATGTAATATGTATATTTTCTTTTTGTGACAGCAAATTTAGTATACATATATAATGATTTGTGCTTCATGTAGCCAATTGTTAATTAACTACATTAATAGTTAAATTTACAATTGTATATATAGGTTAATTAAAAAAACTTGTATCAATAAAGTTTTCATTACAACATTGTGTAAGACTTGTCCGCCACTACAATTTTTGTACAGATTTACATTGTTTTATCAAGGTCTTAACTAAATATCTAAAGACATAAATTTACAGTAAACCGAAATTCGCGGCATAGTAGATCTATTACTGCATACCCAACTAGTATTTCATAATGGCTAGTACATGAATTAGCAGATACAACATTTTATTAGTAGAAATACACAGTGAGATATTTTCCATATCTTCAATAATGAAGAAATCAATCACGTGACTTTTAGTAGGCTATTTATACAATTTTTTGCTTGGGACTATATAATAAACAGAACATTACACGGTGGCTTGAAGATATGACTTTTATCTTCTCGTGTTAAAAACAATATTTTACTCACTCGCTGCGCTCATTCGTAAAATATTGTTTTCACTACTCGAAGATAAATGTCATATCTTCGCGCTACCGTGTACGTAATATCCTCTATGTAGTTTGTCTTTTTTCCGTTCGACTACGCATAGTCAACAATTTCTGATCCAGTAAAGCTGTCTTACCATGTTTGTTTCTCCAAATACCTCGCCTCCATGCCCAAATTAATCCTTGGCAACAATTCTTGGATCAGTAGATTTCACACGCTCGCAAAGATTGGGGTCTAAATCAGCGCCACAAGTTTCAACTAGGTACTGAACCATGTCTTTGTTAGCATTTTCTACAGCAATAAAAACAGCTGTTTTACCTCTTGTATTCTCCTTATTTACATCAGCACCTCGATTTTTAACCAAGTAGTTGACTATTTCTTGTTGACTATATCTCACAGCATTGAAGAGAACTGTTTCACCGTCTTTGTTTTCCTTGTTTACATCAGCGCCACAATATTCGATTAAGTATTTGACTATTTGTCGATTACCATATCTCACAGCATTGAAAAGAGCTGTTTCACCGTATTTATTCTCCTCATTTACATCAGCACCACGATTTTCAATCAAGTACTTGACTATTTCTTGTTGACCATATCTCACAGCATTGAAGAGAACTGTTGCACCGTCTTTATTCTTCTTGTTTACATCAACGTCACAAATTTCGACTAAGTATTTCACTATTTGTTGATTACCGTATCTCACAGCATTGAAAAGAGCTGTTTCACCGTAATTACTCTCCTTATTTACATCAGCACCACAATTGTTAACTAAGTACTGGACAACGTCCGCTTCTTCATTATATCTTGCAGCATTAAAGAGAACTGTTTGACCGTACTTATTCTCCTTATTTACATCAGCACGACAATAATTTTCAACCAAGTACCTGACTATGTATTGCTTACCAAATTTCACAGCAGTTAAAAGGGCCGTTTCATCGTGTTTATTCTCCTTATTTACATCAGCACCACAATTTTCAACTAAGCATTTGACCATTTCTTGTGTACCATATCTCACAGCATTGAGAAGAGCTGTTTCTCCCTCCATATTCTCCTTATTTACATCAGCACCACAATTTTCAATCAAGTGTTTGACCAGGTTTTGTCCACCAAACTCCACAGCAGTGAGAAGAATTGTTTTACCGTATCTACTCTCCTTATTTACAATAGCACCACAACTTTTAATCAAGTACTTTACCAGGTCTTCGTTACCAGTCCTCACAGCATCGAAAAGGACTGTTTCGCCGTTTCTATCCTCCTCATTTACCTTGCTTACATCAGCACCACAATTTTCAATTAAGTATTTGACCATTTCGTATTTACCATATCTCACAGTAGTGAGAAGAGCTGTTTCACCTTTTTTATTCTCCTTATTTACATCAGCACCACAGTTTTTAATCAAGTACTTTACCAGGTCTTCGTTACCAGTTCTCACAGCATTGAAAAGGAATGTTTCACCGTTTCTATCCTCCTTGTTTACCTTGCTTATATCAGCTCCACAATTTTCAACTAAGTACTTGACCACGTCTTGTTTATCATATTTCACAGCATTGAAAAAAGCTGTTTCACCGTCTTTATTCTCCTTATTTACATCGGCACCACCATTTTCAACTACGTATTTGACTATTCCTTGTCCACCATATCTCACAGCATTGAGTAGAGCTGTTTCACCGTCTTTATTCTCTTTATTTACATCAGCACCACACTTCTCAACTAAGTATTTCACCATTTCTGGTTTATCAGATTCCACAGCATTGAGAAGAGGTGTTTTACCGTCTTTATTCTCCTTATTTACATCAACACCACAATTTTCAACTAAGTATCTGACCATGTCTTGTTTACCATATTCCACAGCATTGAAAAGAGCTGTCTCGTCTTTGCCATTTTCCTTATTTTTATCAGCACAAAAATGTATCCCTACGTTTTCCTTCGAATCGACTGTGGTCTTGATCTTCAATTTCTGCAGCAAAGTTAAAATGAATATATGTTCAGATATACTAGGGAAAAATAATTCCGAACTATTCTATCATATAAATATGTCAGGGCAAAAAAAGGGTTACAAACAAAAACATAGATACGCTAGGCGTGCATGTATCTGCGCAAAATGTTGACATACGTGACCATTGTTTGTCGTCATTGTTGTTGTAATTATTAATAAGTTATTACTAATGCAGTGTGTCATAGTTCTATACACTTCCGGTAAATTACTTCCTTTCGAATAATTATGTATATATTTATGTAAATGACCACAAGGCAATATAAGCCATGTTTTTCTTGTTGATATAATATAATATTCCTTGTCATTCAAAGCGTGTTGTCATATTTTTTCAAACTCAAAATTACAACATAGTGTCAGGTGTGTTAGATAAAAGACAAAGCTAGAAAATGTTCACACTAGACCGGTGTGTAACTTTTGAACTTCGCTAGCTTGTATTTCCTTCAAAATACTGAAGCGCCAGAGCAAAGGGTTTAATATAAACATTGTCGAAACTTGGGGAATTGAGATACTGTATATTATTTGGTTTTTCAAAATATTTTATTCTAACCTCGCTTTTAGCTCTCAGCATACTAGCTATACTATGTATAGGTATAGTCTTTTACAATCTTACATGCATATTACAAATTCAGACCACAGTGACTAAAGTTATTTTCAACACACACTACAAATAGCACACGTAATACTACACCTATACATGTGCATAAATATTTCTTTTACATTCATACTAGGACAGTTAACGTTTTAAATGTTAAAGCTAATTATCTGCATATGGTTTTGGCATTTTCTTGATTCTATAGTATATATATTCTTGGTATGTGGAAGCTCATCATCGGTGCACTGTGCTGATGAGCCCCAAAAAGGGCGAAACAGCTGTCCACAGTTGCCGTTGTTTGAGCTTTCCTTGAAGGGCGCTACAATGTCTTGACTTATGTGCTTTATCGCCGTTTTTAAACTGTGAAATGCAGTGAGCGTGCGCATAAAGGCTTAGGCATAATGTGTAGTATATATATATATATATATATATATATATATATATATATATATATATATATTAGGGTGAAAATGTTCTAGAGTGTATATTATATAATTTCCATACCCAGCGCAAGCAGAAAGATGTTGTCTGCCGCGACCTTCGAATTACTAGATCGACGCTCTACCAACTGAGCTACACAGTCAGACGGATTTAAGACTGGAAATTATGAAATATATACTGAATGTCATAAACATACTCGTTTATATTAATTCAGCATCGAACAATACTAGTTCTGCAAGTGTGATGTTAAGTCGTGTAATTGTACACTCTGTAATATGTTAGGGTGAAAATGTTCTAGAGTGTGTATTATATAATTTCCATACATAGCGTATTGTGCATTATATAATTATAATTATAATAATAATAATTATAATAATTATAATATTATTATAATATAATTATATTATAATAATTATAATTATAATTATTGTAGTTATATAATTATTGCGTAGTGTGTATTATATAATTTCCATTTCCAGTCTTAAATCCGTCTGACCGTGTAGCTCAGTTGGTAGAGCGTCGATCTAGTAATTTGAAGGTCGCGGGTTCAAGACCCAGCCGCGGCAGACAACATCTTTCTGCTTGCGCTGGGTATGGAAATTATATAATACACACTCTAGAACATTTTCACCCTAACATATTACGGAGTGTACAATTACACAACTTAACATCACACTTGCAGATTGAACTAGTATTGTTCGATGCTAAATTAATATATATATATATATATATATATATATATATATATATATATATATATATATATATATATATATATATATATATATATATATATATATATATATATATGTATATACATATATATATATATACATATATATATATATATATATATATATATATATATATATATATATATATATATATATATATATATATATATATATATATATATATATATATATATCAACGAGTTTAATATAAACATTGTCGAAACTTGGGGAATTGAGATACTGTATATTGGTTTTTCAAAATATTGAATTGAGATACTGTATACTATATTGAGGGGAATTGAGATACTGTATACTGTATTGAGGGAAATTGAGATACTGTATATTGGTATTTCAAAATATATATATATATATATATATATATATATATATATATATATATATATATATATATATATATATATATATATATATATATATATATATATCTCTATATCTATATATATATATATATATATATATATATATATATATATATATATATATATATATATATATATATATATATATATATATATATATATATATATATATATATATATAACTACAGACGGTACCGTTTCGGCCTTATGGGCCTCATCAGTGTAGTGCTGATGAGCAGGATGAAAGTGACTGCTATTTACAGTCACCTTTGATGCCTCACGAATGTGGGACATCAAAACCATGCCAGAGCGCTCAAACTGCAAGCAGTGAGCGTGCGCAATGCGTAAGCGGCATGGCTCATCCTGTAGAGCGCTCAATATGACCTAAAGGCCATAGAGCGATATCTAACTACATATATATATATATATATATATATATATATATATATATATATATATATATATATATATATATATATATATATATATATATATATATATATTTATGACAATGTTGTGGTTTCCCAAGTTTACGATTCCACTCGTGTAATGTTATGTAGCGGTTTTTTGAGTTGTTTTCAGACGGGTGTATACCAAACCGGGCAAGCAGAAAATTCTACTTGACCGCGGCTGGGATTCGAACCCGCGACCTTCGCATTTCTAGAACGATGCTCTACCTTCTGAGCTACAAGGTCAAGCTGAGAACGACTTGTTAAGTTATGATGTTAGTTGCATTTCGGAGGTTAGTCCTTCAATGCGTATAGCCAGCTATTAGTCTGGCAATGTTGTATGTGAATGTTGTGGTTTCCCACGTTGACGATTCCACTCGTGTTACGTTATGTAGCGGTTTATGAGTTGTTTTCAGACGAGTGTATACCAAATGAAATGCGAATAACATCATAACATCATAACTTAACACGTCGTTCTCAGCTTGACCTTGTAGCTCAGAAGGTAGAGCATCGTTCTAGAAATGCGAAGGTCGCGGGTTCGAATCCCAGCCGCGGTCAAGTAGAATTTTCTGCTTGCCCGGTTTGGTATACACTCGTCTGAAAACAACTCAAAAACCGCTACATATATATATATATATATATAGTCATTCACCGTATGTGAGCTGTTCTACAATCTGATTGGTTGAATTACTCGCCGTATATGAGGTGATATACGACGAGTAGCGAAAAACAAGATGGCGGTCTAAAAACTACATGCAGTTTTGCGAAGCAGAAAAAAGGAAAATATTCGCTTTGAGAAAGATGATAGTACAAGGAAAAACTCTCAAAAAATTTGACAGGTTAGCAAATACATTTATTTCATACAAATTAGTTTAAATACAAGTTGTTTTAAAGAATTAATACCGAAACAACAGAGAAAAAAAAATGTTCAGTGAGAATATAAGTTGTTCAGAAAAGTTTGCAACGATAGACAAATGAATTTGCAGTCAACAAGAACGTACTATATACTACCAAACATCTGTATAATATATCTGACCTTTTCTGTGAGATATACCGGTTCTGAAACCATTTCTTTCACAGTATTCTTCGAGATGTAAAACAAAAGTATTTCAAATTTTTGAGGCCAAGCGGTTTTTGGCCGAACAAATTGTCAAGACATTGTAACAGAGGATAATTAATTATATTGCTTCAGTTAATGGCTATTAGACTATATTATAAAACAATTATACCATTCGCTCTCGTCGTATATGGCTGATAGCCGACTCGGTGCTACGCTCCTCGTCGGCTATCAGCTCATATACGACGAGAGCGAATGGTATAATTGTTAAATATATATATAATATATATTACATATTATATATTATATATTATATATTACATATTACATATTACATATTACATATTACATATTACATATTATACATTATACATTATACATTATGCATTATGCATTATGCATTATACATTACACATTATACATTATTTATTATTTATTATTTATTATTTATTATTTATTATGTATTATATATTATATATTATATATTATATATTATATATTATATATTGGATATTGGATATTGGACATTAGATATTAGATATTAGTATAAATATTAGTTAGCGAAGATCTGCAGCTCAATGGAACATGGTCTCAACCTGGCGGTGACAAAAAGCTATTTACCTTTGATGATTCAGTAATAATATGGAAAAAGAATAAAAACTTGTTGTATCTTGATGGCGAGAAAGCGGGCGATGTTATGAAGGAATTATGCAAGCAGATATGTAAGCAGGACGAGGACATTTCAGTTGCTAAGCAATCAAGCATGCAAGATGTTTGTGAAGACCTCGAAAGTCTTAAGCTTGGCCAATTAACCAATTCCGAAGCGATCCAAGCTATATCGGAATCGATTTCTAACATAGGAACGGCAATTGCCAATTTCAAGAGTTTATGGATAGAAATAAAAAGATCCCGATGATGAATTTCGGACTGAGTCAACAATTATAACGAACGAGTCTTTTGAATATGCAAATCGGGAAAACATCTGTAATGGTAACAAAGCTAAAGTATGCAGCCCTATTGTCTCGAATGAACTGATTAATCCTACCGAGAACAATGGATGTGATCATACAATACCTAATGAAAATGCCTCTACTTCATTTGAAAGAGTAGAACCTATAGAATTGTCGAACGATGTGTCTACTGCATCTCGTCCTATATCAACTAATGATTCAATTGGCGCTGAACAAACTAAAGTGGAAGGAGATCAGGTGACATATGCAAAAGTAGCAGCACCTCTGTCTCTAAAAATCGTAAATCTATGGCAATGCCTAAAACGAACAAAATACCCACATCTAGCCCCCAGAATTCACAACGTGAAATTGACGAGTTGTCTAGTGACCTCGATGGCTTTATTGATGTCAAACGAAATAGAAGTAAAACCAAGAAATTTCTCGTAACAGCCTAACAGGTATAGACGAGAATGTGAAAGAAAGCCAAATCTTATCTTTTCTTAATAAACGAAATATAATCCCGACTTATATTTCCATTTTCAAAAGTCGACGCAGGGGAACAATCTCATCTAAGATCCATGTTCCTTCGGCCGTCAGTTCCTTGCTTCAGGAAGATAATTTCTGGCCTAAATACATAAGTTGTAAGCCATGGAAATCGAAAGAAACACAAACTATGTGGTCAAAGAAAAGTAGCACCCATCTTGGGAAATATTCAACCTACGTATAATGGCTCATATTCCAGTTATAATCTCATCACGTAATTATAGATATAAACGAAATAGGCGCAACCCTACCAACCTAATTACTTTAAACATTTCAAAACGGAATTCTAGACCGACTAATCAAACCGCTAATAAAACTATATCTAACATGCCAACTATCCTCCTAACGTACGAACATTTGTCACATTTCGAACAAAGTTGACGATCTACACGCTATTGTTGAAATGAACAGTCCCTCCTTGATTATGATTACAGAGCCCTGGCTGAATACAAATATACCCGACTCTGCTATAAGCATTGGAAGAATGTTCAATACCTATCGGCGGGACCGACTTACACCAGGAGGGGGTGTATTAGCATATGTGAACGCTTGTATACCAACTACATGTCTAAAAATTTAGACGAAGATAACAGAGAGGTCCTATGGCTGCTTCTTAAACCCCCCAGAACACCTAGGCCTTTTAGCGTTATAGTGGCAGTTGGCGTCTACTTCCCCCCAGGGCAGTCGGCAGAAAGTGAAAGAGAACTGATTGAGTATATTACCAGGGGACTTGATTCTGTCTTACGAGATTACCCGTCTGCTGGTGCATGCATAATGGGAGATTTCAATCAAATGAAGCTGAGTAGACTATGCAGAAGATTTAACTTGAAGAAGTCTGTAAAAGCACCGACAAGAGGCACCAGAGCTTTGGACCAAATACTAACGAACATGTCAGATTTATATAAAGAAGTGGTGCACCTGCCTCCAGTTGGTCGCTCTGACCATCAATGTTTGTTGTATAGTCCCAAAACAATACAAACCGTGAGGCCTTCTACTCGAAAAGTGCGCCTAACGAAACCATGTAACCTAAATGCACTCGGCCTAAAATTAAACCTTGAGGACTGGAAATCAATATTTGAGGCTCGAGATATCAATAACAAAGTTAGTCTTTTTACAAATACTATAATAGACATATTAGATAAAACAATCCCTGTAACCACGATACGTACCCATGCGTCTGACTAGCCATGGATGACGGCTTATATCAAAAAAGAGATTAAAGCGAGCAGGGCATTTTTTAAGAATTCGTCAGTGGGGGGGCCATCTACAAAAAGGGACCATACCATACCGAGTGTGGAGCAATGATAGATGGTTTGTTGGTAACAAAAAGTTTGGTGTGGTATCGCATTTAATAGTAGGAGGGGTGGAGAGCAGGGCCTTAGGAAGCTCTTTTCGTTTGGGGGGGGGGGCTGAAAGCGAGGGCCGAAGGCCCGAGGAAATTTTTAAATTTAGAGTCTCTGAAATGCCATTTCCTGGACTTTGGGGAAGATTTGACAGATTTCTGATTGTCAGAATACAGCGTTTTTAGTATGTGGAAATTTAGAATTCAGTAGTACTAAATGGACGAAGGTGTATTTAATTAACAATATATTGGATAAGTTGCAGGAAAGTATGGGTAATATCTTCATTCTTTGCAGTTTGTCATGGATTAAATAATAAAGGTCTGCATGATTTTAAAAATGAATGATTATTAGCAAATTACTGGGGGCTGCAGCCCCCCAGCCCCCCCCCCCCACATCGGGCGCGGTTGCTACGGCCCTGGAGAGGGTCTGGGGTTTTCTCCCCCAGAAAATTTTTGTATTTTTCTACCCCTATGACTGCAATTCCCTGCATTTTCTGAAACAGATTTTTGGATATACAGCATTACATTATGCTGTAGATAGACTGAACCTGCAGTTAAGTACTTGCATAGTATGTTTATGCATGTAGATACCACAACTTGGCAGTCACTTAGGGAGCCAGCTTGATAAACTTAGGGTTCCCGACTCCCACGAAGCGCCACCACGGTTGGCACAGAGTGGAAAAATTTTGAAAATTTTGCGTCTCTAAATCATCGGAAATGGCATTTTCAAAGTCTTCTATACGTCTTTTGTTTGGCCCTTTCATTAATTCGTTCATTATGATTTGTGAGTCTATGATCGATATCCGCGAGTCAGGATGGATTATTACGAGAAATGTTATCAAAATATCGATTACAGATATTTGATTATATGTAAATATGATTTAAAATACTTCTAGTATCGAAATCAAATTGTTTTTTTTTGGTGGGGGCCAAAATTATCCCCCCCTTATAAAACACATGGTTGAGGGCCTGTTGCCCCCTGTGGTCACTAACTTGTCCAACAACTCAAACTCTATAGGGTCTGGGAAATGCAATCCACTGCCTGGGAAATGTTTAAAATCTAATAAGGTATTTATTAAACATAAAAGACAGGACATAAGATTCACAAAGCAAATTTCAGTTACTGAAATACAGCGAAGAACATGACCAAATATAGACAATTGGCTGATAAGATCATTACACTTATCAAGAAAGCTAAAGTAGAATTCTATTCATCTAAGGTCAAAAGCAAACGCAAACACGATGCAGCAAAATGGCATAGGACGATATCCCAGTTAGATGGCTTTGAAGGTGACAATCTAAACAACAACTTAATCTCAGACAGCACTCCCGATACAGTGGAAATACTGCAGAATATATTTACTAAACCATGGTCAAAACTTCCTGAAACCATAATCCCTAGTCTTGAAGACGTAGCGTCATCACTGAGGCAAGAAAATCCTCCTACTCCCTCAATTGGACAGGTTAAGACTGCCTTGAAACAACTAAACTCTAAAAAAGCCACCGGGTCCGATGGGATTCCAGCGTGGGTGCTTAAACGATACTGTGAAAAACTAGCGCCCATCGTTCATGACATTATTTGCGCCAGTATAAAAGAATGTGAATATCCAACTGCGTATAAACACGCCTTAGTTATCCTAGTTCCGAAGGTCAATCCACCAAGAGATATCGAGAATGACTTTCGCCAGATATCCATAATGGCTAAAGTGCTGGAAAAGCTGCAGCTCAAACTGAACCTTCCCAGTTCACGTATAAATGATAATCAGCATGTCTTTACAAGCAAACGATCAACCGTGTCCGCACTCACCAACATCTCGCAGAACTGGTTTAATGTACCGACAATACTCATAGCGCCAAAAATGGAGTTCGTGCACTATTCATAGATTTTCGCAAAGCGTTTGACCTTGTTGACCACGGAATTCTACCTCGTAAGCTCGCAGAAATGAATGTAACCAAAGCCTTTTGGCTATGGACACGTAGTTTTCTGGAAGATAAAAGACAACAGGTCAAACTAGCAGGAACCCTATCATCGGTCCCACAAGGTTCTGTGATGTCCCCCGCTCTTTTTAATATTCACATTAACGATATTGAGAACTCAATCCCAGATGGATTATCCATAAACATATGCAAATACGCGGATGACTGTACACAGGACGAAGTGGTATCACAAGGTTCATCCAGCCATATGCAGGAGGCCCTTGAAGCAGTACAAGAATGGTCTAATAGGAACAAAATAACGATGAATTCGAAGAAAACAAAAGATATGTGGATATGTTTTAACACAGCAATACCGGCACCAGAACCATTGGTCATTGGAAACGAGGTAGTGGAAAGAGTAAATTCTCATAAACTGTTGGGTGTCTGGCATCAAAACAATTTGAAATGGAACTGTCATGTCAAGAACATTGTAAGGAAAGCAAATAAACGAATGTTTAGTCTGAGAGAATGCCGTAGGGCGAATCTTCCTCCTGAGGTCGGTATTACATGTTATGAATCCAAGATTAGACCTGTTTTAGAATATGCAGCTCCGATATGGGGTGGTTTACCACAATATCTCATTGATGAAATAGAGAGCATTCAAAACAGATGCATCAAAATCCTCGGCACATCTCGGTGCAACTTTGAAACGCTAGAACAAAGAAGGCACACCTAACTGTTAAGGAATACCAAAGAATTCTAAGTGATCCGACCAACCCATGTAATAAACTTATCCCCCAACCTTTTACCCATGAACACGATCTAAGAATAACAAATAATCTACCATATGTTGTATCGTATACTAAAAGACACCGACAATCCTTTATACCTAGAGCTATATCCCTTTTATAACAGTTCTAAATTAATTTTATAGAATATATAACTAGTATAAACATTTTTAGCAACATTGATGTAAATAATAGTAAAATTTCTTCTTATCAATTTTAACCTTAGCACTTCTTGTAAATCCATTGTACTTTTTTAACCAAAGATGGATATTAAATGTTATTATTATCACATATCGTGGCTTCTGATTGGCTACGCTACTAGTAGGCTATTAGTGATAGCCTACTAATAGAAAATTCAAAATGGCGGAAAATTCGCGTTTTGCCCTTTTGCCGAAGTGTCTGATGATTTTTTGGACGACTTGTTGAACAATTCTGTACTAAAAAACCCCGAAAAAAGCAACAAAAATATGGAATGGCAATCTTTAAGGGTAGAAAATAGACAAAATAACATACACTCAATGAAATTTTAAAATTAAAACTGAATTCTGTAAAACATTTTACGCGAACAAAAACTAAAATATTTATTTACCTTTAATGGTTTTATAATGGCTTTTGTGTATTTTTGTATTGTGTTTGCAGCCTAGTTGTAAATTAATGTTAAAGTTTATACTAAAACAATTAGAAAACTCGGCCTCGTTGTCTATGAGCAAATAGTCAACTCGGCTTCGCCTCGTTGACTATTCGCTCATAGACAACTCGGCCTCGTTGTCTAACTGTTAATTAGATATTAGATTTTATATATTAGATTTTATATATTAGATTTTATATATTAGATTTTATATATTAGATTTTATATATTAGATTTTATATATTAGATATTAGATATTAGATATTACATTGCCAATGCGAATTCATTAAGAGATTTCTAGTTTACCTTTGTATTTTCAACGATATTGTCCATGTCAAGACTTTCAGAAGAGTTCATTTTGGTACACAATCTGCGTAAAAACGAAAAAGAAACTTTATGTAACGCTATAGACTGCGATCATGCTGGAAAACTTACACGTCCAATAGCTATGCATCGTGTCAATGGATGATTGGAAAAATTCACTGGGCATTTTATTTGTCCTTTGGACGAATGGATCAATGGACATTTCGGTTTGTTCAATGGACCAATGGACATTGAAGTATCGACAGCAAAACATCCTATATAGACATTGGAAATATCAAACGGACATTTACGTAATTCGACAATACCTGTATATAACCCGAGAAAACACGCGAGAAAATGAAGGACCCCATGCTCGTTGTTCCACCCAGCAAAGGCAAACAATATCTGAAGTTAGCGTGTGATATCAGGCCTGATATGATATGTCTGCAATGGATAATGCCATTCAGCTTTAGCGATTAAACGAATGGACATTAATATTGTATTATGTAATGTAATCTTCAAATATTATGAAGGGGCTTCAGAACTCCTCTCCCAACTAAAAAACACATTAAGGGGGGTGGTAAGAGTCCACTACACCGTATTATAACTGTTAATGGAAAAATGACATTCATAAAGTTCTGCCTCGTACCCAGGCGTCTTTTTGTAAAAAAACAGTGATGGGCATATGACGAGTTTACATGAAGTATTGTAGTGGAGAGAGATGGGCGAAGGGGCTGATGGGATGAGTGCACTTGAAATGCGAGACGCCTGGCAGTTTTTGGTCGATTTCTTGCAACAAAGTACGATTTCTTGCAAGTTGTGATATTTCGTTGTCATTTACGATTTTTTGCTACTTGTTTTTGTTGAATTGACGAATGTTAATATTCTTCTGTCATCTGGGCGTTATTATATATGCTGTTATTCTTGGTATATATGACATATAATTTGTTTTCTTGCACTTCACTTGGTGGAATGAGAGGACCTTGTGCTGCATTTTTCGCAATAGTTTCTGGTCAGGTCTTAAAATGTATATATACTCACTTGGATTACAAACCCTAACATTCTAATATATGACATATGCCTGATTTAAAGTGCTGGAATATTAACATGTTAACATGTCAACAACCGAAGTGTTGAAGAACTAGACTTGCAGGAACTAGATTTGTAAGCTATAACTACTAGTAAAGGTACAAACTATAAAATTGCACTGTTGTAACAAATATTTCAAACTTTACGGCTGTGAACTTTTATTTACTTGGGCTTTTGTTTATAGTATACATTTAATAGAAATTGCCATTGGCATTGTGATCGACTGATCGAGCCTTCTGCTAAAGAAGTTATTAATACAAAAGCAACTAGAGGGCACTCAGAGACTGCATACCTC